AGGAAGGAAGGAAGGAAGGAAGGAAGGAAGGAAGGAAGGAAGGAAGGAAGGGGCAAAGAGTGGTTGCCAGCCATTGTTCTAAGCACTTTACACATTAAATTTACCCACTAATTCCATTAATCCTCATCACGCCCCTACAAGTGAACCCCATCTCACAGATGAGGAAAATTGGTCCAAAAAGATGAAATCATTTGCCTATGGTCTCAGAGCTAGGGACAGGACCGGGATTTGAATCCTCACTCTAGTTTCAGAGTCCAAACTCTTCAGTACTGAGACACACTGCATACTCCCCTGCTGAAGCAGGTCATTTCACCATAGGACTAATTTGCCTACATTTTGAAGATTTTTTTTTTTTAGTTGGAGTCTCCCCCCAGGTTGGAGTGCAGTGACACGCTCACAGCCACCCCAGCGTTGACGTGCTGGGTTCAGGTGGTCCTTCTGTCTCAGCCTTCCAAGCAGTCAGAACTACAGTCGTGCGCCACCACACCCAGCTAATTTTTTGATTTATTGTAGAGATGAGGTCTCACCATGTTGCCCAGGCTGGTCTCGAACCTCTAGACAGGCAATCCTCTTGCCTCTGTCTCCCAAAGTGCTGGGATTACAGGTTGAGCCACCGAGCCCTGCCTGAAGATTTTTTGTTTTTATTTTGTTTTTATTTTTTATTTATTTATTTTTATTTTTTGAGTTGGAGTCTCACTCTGTCGCCCAGACTGGAGTGCAGTGGCCGCTCCCGGCCACCGCAGTCTCCACCTGCTGGGCTCCGGCAATCCTTCTGCCTCAGCCTTCCAAGTAGCCGGAATTACAGGCATGCGCTACCACACCCGGCTGATTTTTTGATTTATTGTAGAGATGAGGTCTCCCCCGGCTGATTTTTTGATTTATTGTAGAGATGAGGTCTTGCTGCCCAAGTGGGTCTTGAACCCGCGGGCTCAGGCAATCCACTCACCTCAGCCTCCCAAGGCGCGGGATTACAGGCTGAGCCACTGAGCCCGGCTGATTTTTTGTTTTTAAAAACAAGTTTTCGTGTCCCTTAAGTTGTACGCACTGCCCTGTCCCTGTCCTTCTATATGGGAATGGAAGAGCTCTCCCGGAACCATAATTCTTTCTTTCGCTGGACTTTTCCCCCAGCCTGCCCAGTCCTGTCTGTTTCTTTTCTTTTCTTTTTTTTGAGTTGGAGTCTCTCACTCTGTCGCCTAGACTGGAGTGCAGTGGCACACTCATGGCCACCGCAGCCTTGACCTGCTGGGCTCAGGTGATCCTTCCACATCAACTTTCCAAGTAGCTAGAACTACAGCCATGTGTCACCATGCCCGGCTAGTTTTTTGATTTATTGTAGAGACGAGGTCTCGCCAAGTTGCCCAGGCTGGTCTTGAACCCCTGGACTCAGGCAATCCTCTCACCTTGGCCTCCCAAAGTGCTGAGATTACAGGCATGAGCCACCGCGCCTGGCCTGTTTCTGCTTCTTTTGGCAAAATGGCTCTGGTTAAAGGTTCTAGGCCAGGTTTAAAGTATGCACTGCACTGTGGTGTCTGGCAATTTTCAGCAAATTGTTATTTGGATAATTGATCTTCATTGAGTTAGCTCTCTGAGTAAATTAATAGTGGGTCAGTTAACTGGAACCTCCTCCCTCCCCCCAGCTGCAACAGCTCTCTCCAGGACACCTGTCTGGTTGAGGATGTAGAGGAGCCTGGTGGGCGATTCCGAGGGGCGCGGTTCCATAATCAGGAGCTGACCCTGCTAATTGGCACACTTTCATGACAATGCAGGGTGGTTGGGACCTCGTCTGAAGGTTGTGCAAGCTGCAGGTGGGCCCTCAGGTGGTAGTTGTGGGTGATTAACACAGGAGTCAGGGAAGACTTCCCGGGGGGGAGGTGTCATTGAGCTACACCTCCAGAGACAACGAGCTTTTGGACCTGAGGAGATGAGAAGGTCACTCTAGGCAAAGTGAACAGGCTGAACAAAGGGAGAGTGGACACTAGCCAGGCAGCCATTGGATGATTTGGGGTCTTTTTTTTTTTTTTTTTGAGTCAGAATCTCACTCTGTCATCCAGGCTGGAATGCAGTGGCACGATCACAGCTCAATGCAGCCTCAGCCTGCTAGGCTCAGGTGATCCTTCTGCCTCAGCCTTTCAAGTAGCTGAAACTACAGGCATGCACCACCACACCCATCTAATGTTTTGATTTATTGTAGAGAGGAGGTCTTGCCAAGTTGCCCAGGCTGGTCTTGAACCCCTGGGCTCAGTCAGTCCTCTTGCCTCAGCCTCCCAAAGTCCTGGAAGCACAGACATGAGCCACCGCACCCAGCTGATTTGGCTCTTATAGGATGAGGTCAGAGTGGGATCCTGTACCTTCACTGCTAAAGTGTGTAACCTAGGGTAGTGGGGAGCCCTGGCAAGCCTTAGAGCAGAGGAGTGGCTTGATGTGGTCTGGACAGTGAGTGGTTTGGAATAAGAATGGCCTGGCTCAGGCCAGATGTTTGTGGGGAGGAGGTATCTGACTGTGGGTTGGCATCTGTTGGGCCGCCATGCATTTCTTTATTATTGACCCCCACCTCATCTCATGCAGGCTCCAGGTGCCTTGTGGGCACCCTGCCTTCTCATCTGACCTCCTCCTCTGCTAGCTACTGTCACACCTGCTGTGCCCTCTTCCATCACCCTGTCTGCCTTTGACCACCTCTCTGCCCTGGGCTTCCCTGGTGTGTGTGATGGAGGAGGCCCTTGGGCAAGGGGGTGGACTCTGGATCGGTTTTATTTCTTGTAATTTAACACATTCTCTTGAGTGCTGACTGCGTGCCAGGTACTGTTCTAATTACTGCTACATGTTAACCCACTCAGTTTTCACAACAGCCCTATGAGGTGGGCGCTGTCATGGCCCATGTTTTCTAGGTGGGGAAACTGAGGCCAAGAGAGGCTCGATAATCTGCGTAAAGTTACAGCTAGTAAATGGCACCCAGATTTGAACCCAGACACTCGGGCTGCAGACTCGAAGTTCTCGTGGGAGTGAAGGGTGATCACAATTCTCGCCCCGTCGTCCTAGATCAAAATGGACTCGCAGATGACAAAGCAGGCGCTGAACGAGATCGAGACGAGGCACAACGAGATCATCAAGCTGGAAACCAGCATCCGCGAGCTGCACGACATGTTTGTGGACATGGCCATGCTCGTGGAAAGCCAGGTACTGACCCTGCCACACCATCCCAGGAGGCCCCCTGGGCTCAGAGTTTCCTCTGCAAACTCCGGCCCTATTCCCCCGTGCACATCTTCTCTGTCTGCAGGGCGAGATGATTGACCGCATCGAGTACAACGTGGAACATTCCGTGGACTATGTGGAGCGAGCTGTGTCCGATACCAAGAAAGCTGTGAGATATCAGAGCAAGGCTCGGAGGGTGAGCCAGGGCAGGTGGCCTGGTGGGGCAGGTGGGCTGGCAGCCTTGTGGGAGGCTGGGCGAAAGCCAGGGCTGAGGCGAGTGATGAAATTGGGTGAGAGGCCTTATCTCTGGCTCTGACCTCTTCCTGTTTCTGTTTTCTCTCCCCTCTTTTCCCTCACACCCACCCCACTCTCTTTCTCCCATCTGTCTGTCGGCTTGTCTCTCTCTCCCTCTCCCTTTCTCTCCATCACTGTGTTTCTCTGTCTCTCTCCTCCTTCTGCCTGCAGAAGAAAATCATGATCATCATTTGCTGTGTGGTGCTGGGGGTGGTCTTGGCGTCATCCATTGGGGGGACGCTGGGCTTGTAGGCCCCCCCATCCTTCTCTCTCCCAGACCCCTCCCCCACCACATCGGGAGCAATACCCCCACCACCCCTTTCACTCCATCCCCTGCTCCAGGCTCATCCCCGAAACAGACCCAGGCAGCCCTACCCTTCCCTTCCCCCCCACGGCAGACCCTGGAGTCCCTGGACCTCACCCTGCCATGGACCACCCGCCCCCTGCCCCGCACGTAGATAGCAGCAGGCGTGATTACACATGCACACCAACATGCATGCCGCCGGCACATGCTCGAGACGTGTGGACACCCCAGCGTGTGTGTACATGTGTAGATGTGTGTAGAAACACCAAATCACCTTTCTTGCTCCCTACCCTGGGTGCGTGTGTGGTCTGAGCTTCCCCCTCTTCACCTGGGTTGTCGTGTAGACTGTGGCTGAGTATAACACAGCAGTCCATCATGCCCCGCTCTGTCTTCTGTGAATAGGTGTGTATGCGTATGTGTGTGTAACCACAGATCTGTGGACACAAAATTTGTGTACATGGAATTTTGTGTTTGAGTGTTTGAACCTAATGCAACAGCAGCTTCTCTACTGATGCCCCTCCCCTGTGTCTGCTACAAATTGGGCGGGTTGTGTGTGTGTGCAGATGCTCACACTCCCATTCTCGGAGGATCCAGGTAGGCCCAGATACACACAAGCCATGGCAGACCCTCCATGAGATATAGAACAAACCCTCCTGGATTGTTACTCCAGGGGTTGCTGTGTGTCCTGGGGAAGGTGTGTGTGTGTGTGTGTGTGTGTGTGTGTGTGTGTGTGTGTGTGTGTGTGTGTTGCACATGTGTGTGTGAGGGAGAGCCTGTAGTGAGTGGGAGCAAAACGTGCAAATGACCTAGCTCAGCCTGGTGTCCATGTACCTCCTCCACAGCAGGTGATGTGCGCGATGTGTGTGTGTGTCTCCAGGATGTGCCTAAAGTGTTGACAGGTCTTCTCAGAGCCCTCCACACTGTGGATAGGATTCCTGTTTTGGTTGGTCATAGCAATTTGTATTCCTGTGCTCCCTAGAACACAGCTGTGTGACTGTGTGTGTGTGTGTGCACGCGTACGCACATGTGTATGTCTAGGGACTTTCACCATAGTGTATTTCTGCCCCCTGTGTATTACATGCACGTGTTTATCTTTGAGGACACGTGCCCCATCCAGGTTTGTTTATCCAGATTCCTTTGCCCTCCCTACTCTCCCCGAGCTACTGACCAGTAACTGGTGTGGCCGCACACGCTGCTACATCCACATTGTGCAACCGAAGCTTCCACCCTCAGAGCCCCTGCGCACGTGCCCAGATCCTTATCTTAATGTCTTTGCCCAAGGATGGCCCTGAGCCCACGAAAGCTGGTCCACCTCCGTGTGCTCACACTTGCCACAGCTGAGCAAGTCCCATGTAGGAAGCCATACCCAGGCATGCACACATATCTGTGCATGCTGACATGGCGTGGTGCCTCTGCAGGCCCCAGCCATTTACACAGAATGCCTCCTGGAAGGGCTGTTTGTGGAGATGTTACTGATGTGGCAGGATGTCAAGGGCTGTCCCAGGCAGATGGAAAATCAGAGCATGACCCCTGCCTCACACACTTACCTCGGACCTGGGAAAGGTCGATGTGTGTCTCCGCTGGCCCATCGGATGCTCTGGGTCTGCCTCAGGGAACTCAGGTTTGGGGAACTGTTTATTTCAGACGGACCGGAGTGGTCAGTGTGGCAGGGGCCACTCAGGGTGGGCCATCCCCCTGACACCCACCCTGAGACCCATCCCCTAGACACCTCTCCTTTCGAAACATTGGCAGTGGTGGCTCCTGATGCCAGGGTATGAGGTTGAGGGTGGGACACGGGCCAGGGTTTCTGACGGTGAGGGAGGGGCTAGCACCTCCCTTGTATAGTCAGCATAGGCAGTTTGAAGGTTTGTGGGTATGATGGCAGGTAGGAGGTGCAGGGGAGAAAGGACAATGTTAGAAGCCCTTACTCTGTGGCTCAGAAACATGTAGGTTGAACACAAGTACATGAATGACCCTGGGGCAGTGCATACACGTGCACAGGGTGAAGGACTCGGCGTGTGTGAAGACCCCAGGGTCCCACGTCATGTGGCATGCGTGTGTGTGTGTGTATGTGTATGTGTGTGAATGAGGCCATACAGGTGTGTGTGTATGTGTGTGTGTGTGTGTGTGTATGTGTGTGAATGAGGCCATGCGGATGTGACCTCCCGGAACACAATACCCCTTCCAACCCCACCCCAGCTCAGCCAGCCAACTCTCCCCTGCCTGGCTGTTTGGGCTCTGCCCACTCTGGTCTATGTGCATGTCAGTGTGGCCACATGTATGTGACCCCCAGGTCGGCTGTCCTGAGGAGGGGAATCTGCCTGTCATTCCCAGAATGCCCTTCTGCAGGACAGGAAGTCTGTCCCGGAGTCTGGCCGGAACTCTCCCACGTCCATCCCAGGTTGCTTTGGAGATACCAGAGCAGGCCCCAGGACCCAGCCCCCTTCTTCCTTCCTGCTGCCCAGACAGGAGCGCCCTTCAACCCAGGTGTTTCTGGAAGCCCCACAGCCTTGCTGCAGGAGAAGGGTGAAGCCATGGCTGGAATGTGGCTCCTGCCTCGAGGGTCGTTGGGCCCACGGCTGCCCATCTCTGGGCCTCAGGTGGACCAGGGGATCCCTGAGGGTCTGCTGTGCCCCAGCTTTCTCCAAGTCCCACACATCATGGGATGTGTCTGCTTGTTGACTGCTGCCTCTGTGTGTGTCCTGGAGTATTGTCTGGGGGCTGGTGTCTTTTGCATGTTCTCGGACAAACATGTTCTGCTCACCCTCCATGCACCTACAACCCTCAAGCCCATGTGTGCCCCATGGGTGGTCCCGGGCCTGGCCAGGGCTCAGTGCTTCCCCTCCCCCTTTCTCCCTATCCCTGCCTCTCACGAAGCACACTGCGTGTCCATCCCATGTGCCCGTGGGTCGATACACACTCTCGCCACGCCTTGAGCGTGTACACATGTGTTCTATGCATTCACCCTGCCTCCCCAGCCCGCCCCGCAGAGGACAAGATGGGTGGCCCCCGGCTCCCTTCTCCCCCACCCAACCCCTGCCCGCTGTGCAGCCGTGTGCGTTGGCGTGTGTTTCTGTGTCGCTGGCGTGTCACGTGATGTAGCCGTGTTTGCTGACATGAGCCCCTGCCCCCTTCTCTGTTTCTCCGTTGGTTTCTAGAGCTCTTTCCCTCCCCTCCCCAGAGGGGACAGGACTCCTGGGGCCTGGCTGGGGGCCCAGAGCCAGGCCACCCTCTCCTGTTAGCCCTCAGAGTTCCATTTCTCTCTATTGGTGACCAAGTTGCAAATGGATAAAACACAGGAAAATTCTGCCCCCCCCAGCCCTGCATGTCCTGTCCCCAGAGCCCCCCACCCCCACCCCGGGCCGGGTCGGGCCCCGTGGGACGGGAGAAATAGCAACCAATCCAACAGCGGGCGTGCTGTGTGCTCACTTCCTTCTGTCCCCACATGGGACGGGCGCCGTGGGGAGGGGGAGACGTGTGGGGTGAGGGGCAGATGGGACAGCAGGACAGACAGCTAGGTGGACACAGGCTTAGATAAGGATTTTATTCCAGGGCTTGGCCAGGCACAACGTTCCTGGGGCATCCTCAGACAGCTAACGATATTGCAGGAGCTTGCCATTCTGTATTGCAGAATTTGGGTGGAGAGGCAAGAGGAAGTGAAAGTGCACTGATTTCCTCAGCTCCCCCGAGGGGAATTCACAGGTAGATGTCCAAAAATCATGGGACCAAAGAGGATCAAGGCAGTGGGAGGAGCCAGAGGAGCCTCTTCACTCTGAACCTGGGCCTGCAGACCGTGCCGGACGTCAGAAGACCAGCGTGAGGCCTCTGGCACCTCCACCCGCTTCCTGCTCAAAAAGCCCGAAGTAGGGTGGGGAGGGAGGGCATCGGGATTCGCCCCTCACCAGCCAGCCATCAGGCCTGGGGTGAGAGTGAAGATGCTCTGGTCCTCAGACTCAGCCCTAGGACCCAGAGGTGTCAGGACACAGAGTCAAGGCATGTGGATTTAAAATGTGGAGGGCTCTGGGACCGCCAGCCTGCCACCGGAGCCCTGCCTCCAGCTCTTGGACGCAGCCACCCCTCCCAGTCCAGGGTTGAGGGCTTGGGACCCGGATGGAGGTTCCGTGATGGGCCTCCAGGCCCTGGCCCTGCCATCACCGGGCTGAGCCCTCCGAGGCCTGCACCCAGAGAATGGTACGGGTCCGGCTGTCCTCCCACGAGAACAGGGGTTCGTAGCCGAAATGGCGCTGAGCCTTGTCGGTGCTGACGGTGAAGGTGGTGTTAGCCACAGCCAGCGTGTAGGGATTCAGCAGGGGTGCGTAGACCAGCAGCGGCCGCAGCAGCCATTGCAGCAGGGCATTGAGGGTGGCCAGGAGTACCAGCAGCCAGTAGGGCAACAGCGGGCGGGCGCCCACCAGCCGCAGTCCGCAGGGGCCCAGGAACTCCATGTTGAAGTCCTCGTAGCTCTTGTAGGGTGATCTGTCATAGCAGAAGTACACCTGGCCGCCCATGAGTGCTGCACGCTGCTCTAGTTCCCGGGCCACCAGCACGTGCATCCAGGCCACGTTACCTGCGATGGGGGAAGGGAGGTGGAGGCACCTCTGAGTGCCCTTGCGATGTGTAGATGCTGCTCTCCCAAGCCAGCCCAGGCACAAGCTGCCTTCTTGGGCCCATGTAGATGCTACCGCATAGCAATCCTTTTTTTTGGAATAGGAGTCTCTGTTAACCAGGCTGGAGAGCCATGGCACACTCAAGGGATCCTTCTGCCTCAGCCTTCTAAGTAGCTGGAACTACAGGCATGCACCACCACACCCGGCTAATTTTTTTTGAGTTGGAGTCTCACTCAGTCGCCCAGACTGGAGTGCAGTGGCCGCTCCCAGCCACCGCAGCCTCGCCTGCTGGGCTCCGGCCATCCTTCCGCCTCAGCCTTCTGAGTAGCCAGAATTACAGGCATGTGCTACCATGCCCGGCTGATTTTTTTTGATTTATTGTAGAGATGAGGTCTCGCTGCCCAGGCGGGTCTCGAACCCGCGGGCTCAGGCAATCCACCCACCTCAGCCTCCCAACGGCACAGGATTACAGGCTGAGCCACCGAGCCCGGCTCCCGGCTAATTTTTAAAAAATTTATTGTAGAGATGAGTTCTTGCCGAGTTGCCCAAGCTGGCCTCGAAGCCCTGAACTCAGGCAACCCTCTCGCCTCAGCCTCCCAGAGTGCTGGGATTACAGGCTTGAGCCGCCACACCCAGCCATGATGGCCTATTAAGGCTGCTTTTCCCTAGCCCTTGCTCTTCGGGGACAGCCTGTATAGATGCTACTCCTTTTAGTCCTGTGTAGATGCTGCCTCTCCTGTAGCTGTAATTTTCTCCATAGCCTATCACACGCTTTCTATGTTGGCCTTCCTTTTTTCTTTTTTTTGTTTTTTTGAATTGGAGTCTCACTCTGTCACCCAGACTGGAGTGCAGTGGCACACTCCCAGCCACCGCAGCCTCGACCTGCTGGGGCTCCGGCGATCCTTCCGCCTCAGCCTTCCGAGTAGCCAGAACTACACCCGGCTAATTTTTGATTTATTGTAGTGATGAGGTCTTGCCAAGTTGCCCAGGCGGGTTTTGAGCCTGAGGGCTCAGGCAATCCACTCGCCTCAGCCTCCCAAGGTGCGGGATTACAGGCTGAGCCACCGAGCCCGGCTGGCCTTCCTTTTTTCATGGGTACTATTTCGGCCTGTGTAGACAATGCCCGCATAATCAAAGTCTACCTTGGCCCATGTGTAGACCATCTTTTTCTAGCCAGAGTTCACATTATCCCTTCCAGAGCCAGTGAGTCCCACCCACTCCCAGAACAGGTTCCTCGCCCTGTTCTTAGCCTCCCCCTGCCTAGCCCGATCCTCACCCACATAGACCCTGCCGTGCTCCACGGAGGCTGGAATGGCTCGGAAGAGCCGACCTCCCAGGCGCAGGCCCTGGCGGTAGAAGTCTCTCATGATCTGGTGGCCTTCACCGTAGATGCCCGTGGGACGCAGGGCACATGTCACCAGGGGCAGCCCCCCACGGACCTGGTAGCAAAAGGCAGGCACTGCTAAGACCTAGGACCCAGCGGCTCGCCCTCTGCCCTGGACCTCTCAGACCAGAGACAAGGGGAGGTGACCGGGGCAGGATTCTTGTCTCTGTGCCTCATTTCAAGCTCACCTTCTTTCCATTGGCCTCGAGGACCAGTCGCTCAGCCAGGGCCTTGCTGCAGGGATAAGGGTGCTTGTGGACGGCTTCATACGGGGTGTCCTCATTCCCCCTAGTGGGAGGAGAGGAAAGGCTCAGTGCTGAGGGGAAATGGACTCAATACCAGAGGGACCTCAGCTCACCTGTAGAAGGGGTGGCCTTTGGTGTTAGGCCCTACAACTTCCATGCTGCTCGTGTAGACTAGGAGCCGTGTTCCAGCCTGCACGCAAGCCTCGATCACATTCTGCGTGCCTGAAAGGGGAGGAGGATACATCCAAGCTGAGGCTTCCCCTCTGCATCTGCTCCCTCCCTTCCCATCCCAGGTCCAGGAAAAACCACAACAGGTCAGGGGAGGGTGGAATCAGGCCCGTCAACAGCACAGCTGTCACAGGAGAATCACAGGTCAAGGCCAAAGGGGGTGGGGAACAAACAGATGAGATCAGGCCTGGGAGTGTTACACGCGTCATGAGAACGGGTGGGGAGCATCTCACCCTGCACGTTGACCTCATAGATGGTCTTGGGACTGGCCCTTCCAAACACGTCCACCAGCCCAGCCGTGTGGATGACCACATGGGCTCCAGTTACAGCTGCTGCTACCTCGTGGGCCTGGGTCACATCCCCCTGGATGGCAGTCACTTGCACAGGGCCTGGTGGGGATGGAGGTCGGAGACGATGTCAGAGCCTTAGGCGAGCAGCCTTGGGCGAGCAGCTGGGTTCTGCCCGTGTTCTTGGAAGCCACATTCCCAGTGTGACTCACTCGTCCCATCCACGTGGACCGGAGAGCATAAACAGGCATCATCTTTTCCAACGCAGGGTGGGGATCCTGACTTGGGAGAGCCCACACTGTCCCCCGTGGCCTCCCCCCCCG